TGATTCGGCCCCTCTGTCCTCGGACTGGCTGATGCTGCCTACAAGCTCGGGCTTTGTCCCTGGGGCTCCTAGTGACAAGGGACTAACGTGGGCCAGAACTGTTCCCTCCTGCACCGTCGCTGTTCTATCGGAGGTGTTCAGCACCTGAATGAACAGATGCTGGTTCCTCTGTACAATAGTTTCGGCTCCCACCAGCGCATGGCGATCCATGGCAGCTGACGCCGGAGACACCAGGATGGGTGAGTCTGGTCGGGCTGTCACGAGGGGAGACCGATATTGCAGCGGAATCAGCATCTGGGCTGCCGGGGGAATGGAGACAGACTTACTGACCAGAGCCTGCACGTAGGGTACACCCCGGCTGGCCCCCTCCGCCTTTAGGAAATGGAGATGCGTTCCCTGGACTTCCACCCGCCCATTGGCCAGATCGATTTTAATTGGCATCCGCCTCAGAAAGTCCGTCCCCAACAGGCAGAGTACGGGCAACGTTGCGGAGACAAGGATGGGTCCTGCTACCGAGAGCTGCCCAATCTGTATCGGGGCTTCAACCTGGCCCAGGAAGCCCATGCTGCCTCCATTTGCTGCAATGAACGTTGTCTTGACAGGGACTAAAGGTCGGATTTTATCCGGCAGCATCTCGTGCATGGTGCTCGAGATGATCGTGGCTGATGCCCCCGTATCCACCAAGATACGTGCCGACACTCCCGCGATTTCACCGACCAGGACCGAGGTTCCCGACGTGGCCGCTACCACCCGCCTTGCCAGCTTCCTCCATTGTGTGGCTGAGTCCGGCCACTGACCAGGCGGCGTCTCGTTATCCTGTGGTGCATGGTGAAATGATGGGGGATGGATGTGAATGGACTGAAGATGGGGTTCCTCCCTTTGGAGTGCGTCGCAGCAGGGTGAGCGCGCCCTTGTTACATAGTGTGGGCTTACCCCTGGGTTGAGGGCTGTGCTCTCTATGTGGTGCAATTTGCCCCCCCTTGGTGATGTAGGGTGGGCCCCCCTTGTGGTGTGGGGGGCCCCCCCCATTGTAGGGGGCAGTGGGGACTGGGGGGTGGGCCTTCCCGTGAGCCCCTCCCTTCTCCCCTCCCTTCCCTTTGTCACGGGGGCGTGGTCCCCCTGGTTCCGTCTCGCTCTGCCACAAAGCGGTGGTGAGGTGGCCCGTAGAACTGCTCCAGGGCGCACTGTCAATCTTGTGGGCTGCCTCCGCCCCCGGGCCGTTGCCCCTGGCAACTCGCCGGCGTCGCAGGCAACTGGTGACATCACGCCCGCCGGCGACGTCACGCCCGCCCGCGAAACCACGCCCGCCGGCGACGTCACGTCCGCCCGCGAAACCACGCCCGCCGGCGACGTCACGCCCGCCCGCGAAACCACGCCCGCCGGCGACGTCACGCCCGCCCGCGAAACCACGCCCGCCGGCGACGTCACGCCCGCCCGCGAACCCACGCCCGCCCGCGACGTCACGCCCGCCCGCGAAACCACGCCCGCCGGCGACGTCACGCCCGCCCGCGAACCCACTCCCGCCCGCGACGTCACGCCCGCCCGCGAAACCACGCCCGCCCGCGACGTCACCTCCGCCCGCGACGTCACGTCCGCCCGCGACGTCACCTCCGCCCGTGACGTCACGTCCCCGCCCGCGACGTCACCTCCGCCCGCGACGTCACGTCCGCCCGCGACGTCCCTCCCGGCCTAGGCGCGACTCCCGACGCGGTCTCTGGCCCCGGCGCGATCCCCGACGTGGTCCACGGCCCCGGCGCAACTCCCGGCGCGATCCGCGACACCACTCCTGGCCGCGACGTCACTCCCGGATGCAACGTCACATCCGTTCGCGACGCCACTCCGGGTCGCGACGCCACCCCTGGTCGCGACGCAATCCCAGGCCCCGGCGCTGTCCCCGGCGCGATCCCCTTCCCCCGACCCGGACAATGGGGACCGGGGAACGACACCGACGGCGCCCACCCCGAGGAGACTCCCGGTAAGTTCGCGGCGTCGGAATTATAATTGCTCGGCCCGACCGAGAGGCCGGGCGGGACGGCGTCACTCGCCTGGATCCTGTCGGCGTTCGGCCCCGGCGGGTTCCAGGTGACGTTGGCGGCCTCCGGCTCTGTGCGGCACCCCCTCGCCACATGCCCCTCTCGACCACAATGGTGGCAGACCCACGGGGCGTTCCGTCGGGGGGGCTCGGCGCGATGTTGTAGAGGCGGCTGCCAGCGACGCGGCGGTTGGTCGCGCCCCTGGTCCCTCTGCTCCGCCAGTCCCCGGATCGCCGCGTACACCTCCCGCAGCGATGGCTCCGTCTCAGACGTCGGGGGTCCGTCCCCAGCTGCTCCACAGGCAGCCTGTGGCGACGGTGCAGGTTCGGCGGTTGGTGTCGCTGGACCCAGTAGCGCCGCGGCAACGGCTCGGCTGTTCCCCCCCGCCGCGCCAGCCACCGGGCCCACGGGTGGCGCCCGGCCCATGACCTGCTCGTGGGCTTGGATGGTCCGGGCAGCCCACAGCGAGGTGCGTTCCCCCGGCGTCACCACGGGCATTACAATGCCGGCGCGGCAAGCGTAGGCGATGAGGTGCTCGACCACGAGGTCCTCGAGCGCTTCTTCAGCCAGGCGAGGGAAAGCTCTCCTCGCCAACACGAGCAGTGCACCCCTGTAGGCTAAAGGGGATTCTTTAGCCCCTCGCTGGCGATCCTGGAACCGTTTAAAGGCTCCTTCCGCCGGGCAATAGATCTCCCCCAAAGCCTCGTAGGCCGCCTGTAGCGTGGTCTTGCTGTGCGAGGGAAGGGAGGTGTAAGAGGCGAGTGCTTCCTTGCCCAGAACGGATGGCAGCGCTCGTAGTGCCTCTTCGTCTGTCCACTCGAGAGCGTGGAAGGCAGCCTCGAATCGGCGGACAAACTCCTCCCAGTCTTCTTCCTCAGCCACGAACTTGTCGACGGGCCCCAGCCGACGCGGCCGTCCGGCCACCTGCTCTCCGTGTTGGGTGGTTAGCCCTGGGGGTTTTGGCGGGACCGGCGGCGGCTGGCGTGACGAGGTTGGTTGCGGCTCTTGCCCGGCCGGCTGGTCGGCCTCCGAGTCCCGTGGCCTCTCCTCCCGTAGTACGCGTGGGAGTGGGGGTCCCGGTGCTGGCGGGCCCCCCATAGGGAGCCTCTGTAGGAGCTCCTGGAGTGCCCTCTCCACGCGGGCCATGCGGTCCTCCATGGGGTCCTCCAGGCGATCCGGGCCCCCTGCTGCTGCTTCTGATAGCAGGCCCCCTTGTTGCCTGGGATGGGAAGGATCCCCGGCCCCTGCTTCCTCCTCCCTTGGCTCTTTCCCGCGGGGATTTTTCTTTGTAGCCATGAAATCCCACCGCTGCCACCAGATGTAAAGTAGGAGCCGACACCAGATTGCAGGGGTCTCGTCCTTTATTCCTTTCCTTCCATCCACACCTGTCCCCAGCCGTCCCAATCTCGTTCCCGCCAAAGGCCCCTCCTTCCCGCCCGTTCTCTCCTTATATCTCTTCGATCACCCCTCCCACTAACCCCTCTATTGGTGGGAATCCTTCCCCTGACACCCCTACATAGGCAAGAGGGGGGGGGGGGGGGGGCGAGCCAGGGAGGAGAGACAGGGAGGGTGGCGGTGTGGGGTAGGGGGAGTGGATGATACAAGTTAGACTCAAGCACGGCATAAAATGCCGGGGTGGGGAGGGGAATTGGGCGGGGCTAGGAGTGGGAGGGTTATGAGCCAGAGAGGAAATACAGGGAGTGTGGGGCAGGGGTAGGGAGGACACAAGTACGGCAAAAAATGCCGGGGTGGGGAGGGGAATTGGGCAGGGCTGAGAGTGGGAGGGTTAAGAAACTGGAGATGCGGATATGAAGGCGGGCCAAAAGCAGTTATGGTTTTACCTGGTTAATAACATCCTTCCAATGATTGCTCAATCTGTATCCATCTTCCCGGTTGAAGTTATGTCTATGTTTATATATTTCTGGATACACCTATTGCAAGGCATCGAGTCTGCATTAACCACACGTAATTGTGGCAAACCATGCGAACAAACATACTCGGATAATACATGCCTTGTTTTTGAAACTCACTCGCCTGTGCCAGAGACAGCAGCTTTTTTTGTGGCCTTATCCCACCAGTATATGCCATGGTGGCGAGATGTTAACCCCCTCGCCTGGGATGCAAAGAGTCGTTATTTCACACCCGACGGTGATGCCTGCCGCTGTTTATTTGCAGTTTGCGGTGTCTCTCTCCCCCATGGTTGCGTAGATTCTTCTCCAGGCCCTCCGGTATTGCCCTTGACATTTAGAATCAACATCACGCGTTTAGAGTATTTGGCTGCCATACATTTCTACACGATGATGATCATAATAACCCCACTTCGGTGAGATATTATTTGCGATTGCCAGGTCGCTTCTGAAAAAGAGCTATGTAGCTCAGTTGGCAATCTTACACTTGGTAACTTAAAAATAGTATAAGCTAGAGGTAGGGGTTTAAAAAACCGGAAAGCCACTGACGCAGCCACCACCCACCCACTCACCCACTCACCCACCCACTCACCCACCCACCAACCACCCACCCACAAACCACCCACTCACTCACCCACCCATCACCAGTGACCAACTACCACCACCCACCAACTTCCCACCCACCACCTTCCCACCATCAACCCACCACCCACCCACTCACGCACCAACTAAACACCCACCCACCACCAACCAACCATCACCTACCCACCCACTCAACCTCCACCCATTCATTTAGGGTATTTGGCTGATATAAAATTTCCACACGGTGATGATGGTGATGATAAGTCCACTTGGTTGAGCTATCATTTGTGATGGCCACGTGGCTTCTGAAAAAGAGCTACAGAGTAGCTCAATTGGGTCTCACCTGGTCAAAATGAAATAAAAAGTTGAGTTTATGTTTTAGCGCCAGACCGGACAATGCCAGCAGCCAAACATTGCGAGGGCGACCAGAACCCACACCCACCCCGCTGTCGTGCGTGCCGGGAGTGAAACGCCTTACCGGAAGGCGTCGATCTCGGTGCGGTTCTCGAGCCAGGGACAATCACGAACCTTCAGAATCTTCTCCACCACCAACTGTTCGTTGAACCTAAGGCAAGAAACAGAGCGGGGTCACCACCACCAACCCCCTCCCCGCGTCCACGGAGACTGTTGTTGACCTGTTGGTCTATTGACATGTTAACCTGTTCGCATGTTCACATGTTGACCTGTTGGCATGTTGACATGTTGACCTCTTGACCCGTTGACATGTTGACCTGTTGATCTATTGACATGTTGACCTGTTGGCATGTTCACATGTTGACCTGTTGGCATGTTGACCTCTTGACCCGTTGACATGTTGACCTGTTGGTCTTTTGACATGTTGACCTGTTGGTCTGTTGACATGTTGAGCTGTTGCCATGTTGACATGTTGATCTGTTGGCATGTTGACATGTTGACATGTTACCCTGTTGGTCTGTTGACATGTTGACCTGTTGACATGTTGACCTCTTGAACCGTTGACATGTGACCTGTTGACCAGCGGCGGCTCGCGACATTGCCACTGCAGGTGGGGCTGGTTTATGAGTCACCTCCGAAGAGACGGTGTCCAAACGAAATACAAAACAGAGCCCCGTCGCGTTATCGGCATCGCCGTGAAAGTGAAAACGATCACTGTCTCGCCTACCAACGGTGGGGCGCTCGTACGAAACGGCACAATGAAGCACTCAAATGTTGTTCCCATGACCCCTCACATCCACACACTACACAAACCCCTTTGACTCTGCCAAAACGCCCAAAGAGCATTTCGAGATCAGCTCACAACTCGACAAATTTTAGCCGAGGTCAAGTGAAACAGAAAAGTGCATTATGCTGTGCACATCCACAGAGCCCAGGCCTTTCTGGCGTACCAGCTCTGGCTAAACGTCCTCACGGCATGCGCTTTTCCCGGTCGCCTGAGAGCTGGTTATGTTGATTTTTCGGTTGACCGGGAACCCAGCCGCTTGACACTCGACTTCTCCTGCATATTCATCCTTTTCCAATGGAATATTTCGCAGTGACTCCCACAGCGTTCGTTCCTCATTCTTGGTTCGCTGCACCAGCTGCCATCTCCATGGCTGTTGTTTGCTCCTTAGAGCGTGTATGCTGTGTTGAGCTGCTGCATTTGCACGGTGCAACCTCGCGTTGTCGCGTCGTTTCACTACAGCCACGGGCGCCTTTTTCGCCGCCTTGAATGAGTCTCAAAACGGCGATCCATCGCCGCGCGCAAATTTCCGGTCACCTGACCCGGCAGCGGCGTCGGCGACCGCCTTGTGACTGGCGAGCCACCGGTCACTCAGCGAAAGTCGGTCACCTTGCTGTGACCCTTCGAGTGCTGCTGCCACGGGTGAGCGTGGCCGAGCAACGGTCCCCCCATCGCTCACCCGGTGAGCAATCCGAGTGGCCCTCCCCCCATCGCTCACCCGGTGAGCGTGGCCGAGCGGCCCTCCCCCCATCACTCACCCGGTGAGCGTGGCCGAGCGGCGCTCCCCCCGTCGCTCACCCGGTGAGCGTGGCTGAGTGGCGCTCCCCCCATCGCTCACCCGGTGAGCGTGGCCGAGTGGCGCTCCCCCCATCGCTCACCCGGTGAGCGTGGCTGAGTGGCGCTCCCCCCATCGCTCACCCGGTGAGTGTGGCCGAGCGGCCCTCCCCCCATCGCTCACCCGGTGAGCGTGGCCGAGTGGCGCTCCCCCCGTCGCTCACCCGGTGAGCGTGGCCGAGTGGCGCTCCCCCCGTTGCTCACCCGGTGAGCGTGGCCGAGTGGCGCTTCCCCCATCGCTCACCCGGTGAGCGTGGCCGAGTGGCGCTTCCCCCATCGCTCACCTGGTGAGCGTGGCCGAGTGGCGCTTCCCCCATCGCTCACCCGGTGAGCGTGGCTGAGCAGCGGTCCCCCCGTTGCTCACCCGGTGAGCAATCCGAGTGGTCCTCCCCCCGTCGCTCACCCGGTGAGCGTGGCCGAGTGGCGCTCCCCCCATCGCTCACCTGGTGAGCGTGGCCGAGTGGCGCTCCCCCCATCGCTCACCCGGTTTGCGTGGCCGAGTGGCGCTCCCCCCGTCGCTCACCCGGTGAGTGTGGCTGAGCGCTTAACGTCCCACCGCACCGACACCGGCGTGGAACCCGCGGTCCCCACGGGGATCACGGAGCGCCCAGCACGCCAAAGTTGGCCTAAAGCTTCAGTCGACAATGACAACCCAAACCCCCCCCCGACCCCACCCCGTCCGGGTGTTGAACCAATGTGTTCTCACGTCTTTGGCGGAGGGTCGTTGGCGATGCTCGTCAAGGTTTGCCGGCACTGAGGGCTCAGTTTGACTTTCATCTTCGGTCTGGGAAAAGAGGAAACGACGGAGATGGGTTTAACACGTGGTAGGCTTTCGCGACCAAATGTCATCCTTAATCCAGGTTTGTTGGGTTAGGTCGCGTTAAAACAGGGCGCTTCAAAAAATGTTAACACTTATGAAAATTTGCAGCAATACCACAAGAAATGTGCCTCCGGGGCTCTGGAGACCACCTGGAAAAGATTGCAGGTGTGTGTTGACAACTATGGCGAACAAGTGGGAGACTTTTTGACTTTTTGAAGCTATTAACACACATTTGTTATCATGTTACAGTGTATTATCCGCTCTTTTTACATTAAAAACGATAGTCCCATGTAAGTGTTAAAACATTTTTGAAGCACCCTGTATTTGTCACGTAAACAGAACATGCCAATCCCTTACTAGTGTAGTAGCGTAGTTGGGCACTGTGCAGAGGTCGCAATCGGGTACCCGATACCCGTACCCTACCCGATACCCGGCTACCCGTACCCGGCCAGGTACGGGTACGGGTACCCGTTTGCGACCCTGGTGCGGCCGGGTACGGGTACGGGTAAGGAATCAAAACCCGTTTGCGACCTCTGGCACTGTGGACATTTCCCATTCATCCTTACCTGTAGCAACAGGCATGTGTCAATAGGGGGTGGTATAACGAATGTGTGAGATGAGTTGGCTCGTTGGGCCAATAGGGCTCCCCAGACCCCAAGAGAGGGCCTGGGGGGATATTCCAGAGCCCCCTAGAGAGTTCTAGAAGGGAGGCATGGCTCGGGGCGGAGACACCCTGAAACGGGTATAAAAGCCGGACCTCTAGATGGGTCCAGCAGTCATCGTCAAGCTGAAGACTAAAGACCTGCTTAGGCTAGCACCCTGGGACCCGCAGATCCGATGTCCTTCTAAGGGCCGGGATCGAGTGGACCAGTGGTTGGACCCGAGGACCTTGGCTGGGTCGGGTCGGATAGCCTCCCCTAAGGCCCCTTAGCCAGAGGGCCGAGAGTACGTAGCCCAGTCGATAGGACACACTAGCCCGGAGGCTATACCTCTCTAGGTATCGGGTATTGGGGCCGCTACCCCTTTGTGTTAGGAATTGTTACCGTTGTTATTTGAATAAACGTGTTGCCTCTACAAGCCGTCTTTACTCTCCTTCAACCCACTACGCTAGTATAGCACACCGGTGTGTTGGAGAGCAAAGCCACAACCAGAAATCGGTTACAGATCCGGCATCAATCACTGGGCTCACTCCACCCGCCCGCTGACAACCGCCAAAAAATGAAAGACAAAGATCCCCTGTGTAGCCTCAACGGGCTGCCGGGGCAAGTGCTGTTAGCGTGCAGCACCTATGAAGGCCGGCACAGTGGCACACGAGGGGGCGGGCGGCCAGAAATCACGTCCGGCCGCCTTTGTCTCCCCAATGGTGATGTTTACACACCACACCAGGTACTCATTTGAGGCCGAGTCGACCTAGGGGGAGGCCCATGACCACTACAGATAATCGTCGCCGGTGTTGGCCGTGAGCGGGAATCGAACTCAGGTCACCCGGTTCATAGCGCAGTGCGCTAACCACTGCGCCACCGCTCCCCACGACCACCACCTGTGACAATGATCTGAACCGGTCCTGGGCCTTCCCTAGGTCGAGTCGGTCTCAAATGAGTACCTGGTGCGGTGTGTTAACATCGCCACTCGGGAGACAAAGGCGGCCGGGCGTAGTTGCTGGCCACCCACTCCCCCGTGTGCCATGTCAGCCTTCATAGTTACGGCTACACGGTGGCTAGGAGATGTTAACTACCTCGCCGGGTATACAGGAGGTTGTGGGTTCAATCCTGACCCTGACGCCTGCTGCTGTATATTTGGAGTTTGCGTGTCTCTCTCTCATCATCATCACGGTGGCTAGGAGATGTTAACTACCTCGCCTGGTATACAGGAGGCTGTGGGTTCGATCCCGACCCTGACGCCTGCTGCTGTATATTTGGAGTTTGCGTGTCTCTCTCCCCGTGGCCGCGTGTTCTTTTTCTCCGGGTCCTCCGGGTTTTCTCTCCAAATTTAGAATCGACATGCATATCAGAGTATTTGGGTGCTGCTATAAATTTCCACACGATGATGATGATGAGCCGCCGCTTAGTTGAGCTATCAATTGTGATGGTCAGGTCGCTTCTGAAACACGTTCCTTCGGAGTGGGCTGGTAGGAACTTGATTGGACGGCGCATTCGTGCGATCCGTGTCACACGGCGCAAGCCGCGTGTGGCGGTGCGTCACGTGGTGCTGAGCCCGCCCGAAGCGCTCTATGAATTACAAATCGAGGGCGTGGCTATGCACGACAGACAGACAAATAATCCCTGGTGGGCAGTGTGGAAGCTGTTGTTCCTACCTGTAAAAGAGCTACATAGCTAAGTGGGGCATTACCTGGTAAAAACATTTTTATTGAGTTAGCATGCAAATGTTTACCTGGCATCCCTTTGATTTGTGGAAAACCCATCACCGCCGCAGTCGCTGCCCACCACTTACATTAACATTGGCTGGTGACATTTGGGCTACGGTCATTTCAAACCTTTATAAACAGTTGTCTTTAGAAGCTAACCCCCCTTTTCCTGATGACGACTGCTTGTGTTGCGATCAAAACGTCGTAGTTTTTTGTTAATTTGTTATTTTCTTTGAACCTATCTACGTGACTTTACCGAAAGACCTAAAGCATATGAATTCCTGCAGTCACGGAAGCTTTAAGTCAAGTTTTTTGTGTAATTTCACTTAGAGTATTTTGCTGCTGTAAATTTCCACACGACGACAATGAACCACTTCGGTTAAACTATGTAAACAGAGGCACATAGCGGCTCAGTGGACCCTTACAGCTTGCCAAAACAACAATGTGACATCTTCTTAGTTCTTTCGGTAAAGTCACGTAGAAGGGAAGTAATAAAATAAGAAAAATAAAACCTAAACAAAAAAATTCTCACAACGCAAGCAGCCGTCCTCAGGTGAAAAACAGGTCTGTCGGAAAGACAGCGTCTGAATGAAACACCACCAGGCTTGGAGCGTATATTTAAGCTGGGTTGGAGGAGGAAGAGTGTCTTGACAAAAGAATTTTCATATCAATGTGACAGTTTACGTTCTTAGTTCACTTGCTACCGAACAGCACGTGACCCCAACAGCCCGTTGAAGGCTACATGGGCGGGCGGGCGGGTGGGGGGTGGGAATTGTCGTCTCTAATCGCAATTACCTCGACTTGCCCAAGGGCACCGCCGGTGGCTCGGTGTCGTTGCGCGCGCTGAGAGAGGTGGACGCCGCGACTTGTCGGACTTGGTCAGTGGAAGCCCTAGGAGCGAGAAAGCGAGTGCAGGAAGAAAAAAAACAAGCGAGAGACAGTTCAACGCACGGTCGTGGTGGCAGCGGTGGGGAGGGGTGGCAGGGCTTTCGAGACCGGCGTTGTCCACGCACCGCAGCCGGGTACTCATTTGAGGCCGAGTCGACCTAGGGGTAGACCCATGAGCGCTACAGGTGACCGTCACGGCGGTTGGTGGCCGTGAGCGGGAATAGAAATCGGTGCGCTAGCTGCTGCGCCACCGCACCCGCGACCACCACCACCAGTGACAATGATCAGATCCAGGCCTGGGCATCGTCTCGATCAGCTCGGCCTCAAATGAGTACCTGGTGCGGTGGTGGTAGTGGTAGTAGTGGTAGTGGCAGGGCTTTCGCAACCAATGTTGTCCATAATACAGGGGGGGGGGGGATTTAGAGGTTATATTGCGTAAACATAAAAGTTTTGTCAATAAAGCGGCCACTACCACCACCCCAACACAGCCTAATCGTGAACAATTATAATCGGTGTTTTACCATTTCTGATGTTTAGACACCAAATAGAAACCTTCTGCCAGGAATCAAGTTACTCCATTAACCACACACGGTACTTGTGGTGACCATGCAAACAAACATGGCTCTGATCATACATGGGCGTTGTCTTTGAAACTGTTTGGCCTACACCAGAGACAGCAGCCTTCTTTAGGGCCTAGTGTCACTACCAGTGGCAGACCAGAGAATGGCAAAAAGCGAACAGCACAAAGACAATGCACGTGTATTGTTGCATGTATATCTCGGGGTGAGCAGCTATATCATGGGATCCATTTTTGCCAGTATCAAAACATGAAACATTATGAATACAGGGTAAATCGTTTCGGTTGACAGGTATGTTGCATCTATTTATCGCTATTGGTCTCTATGTATATCTGTGCGTCTCCATCTATCTCTATGGGTCTCTGTGTATCTCTTTTGGTCTCTATGGGTCTCGATGGGTCTCCGTTTATATCATACCTGCTAACACCTTATCAGTGCCCTACCTTATTACAGACCAATTAAGACCTGATTCGTCACACCGTGTATCAACGTTCATCCGACAAAGTCCCATCACAGGGGAGAAACACAAACAAGTATAAAAAAAATGTGCCCGTATTGAAACGTCTCGACGCCGTATGGACCTGAAAACTCAATTTCCCCTGTGCTAGAATACGGAGTAAACCACGTGGGTTGACACGGTATGGTGTATCGAAGAGTGCCCCGTGTAAGTGTTGTCACGTGAGCCACAAAACTTTGCCCAATTAAGTTGACGACTTCTGCACCCACTGAGCACGTGCTGTCGGTGGAGTAAAACCCTCTCGGACTTTTACGATTCCGCGGCGAGGTTGCGGTGACATTTTGCCAAGCGATTGCAGCAGCAGCTTGGTTCAACACGTAGTAGGCTTTCGCAACCAATATCATCCATAATACAGATTTTTGGGGTTAGATTGTGTATATGCGTTGTTAAACCCGGCACCGCCCAGCACAGCCAGTTTGTCACGTAAACAGAACGTGGCCAATTCGTCACTGGTACAGCACTAGTGTATAGTGTAGTGTATAGTAGTGTAGTGTATAGTGTAGTATACTAGTCCAGCACTAACCGGTGTGTTGGAGAGCCACGCCACAACATTTACAATCTGAGTACGACGTTTCGCCAATAATTACAACCAGCTTCATCAGCCGACAGCCGGATTTGTGGCGAAATCAATTTCGGTCGTAAATTGAGTGGCTGTTTATTCTGCGATTCCTGCTTCAGTCCAGCCCAAGGGGCGCCCCACCCAGTGGCAGCTGCCCCCACGTGGCACGCGAGGTGTGTACGGCAGCACCGGGGCTTGCATGTGGGTTACGGGCTCGGGGCGCCAGAGGGCCACGGGCGTGCGCAGTAATGCAGAGACTCGCAGAGATGACACGCAGAGGATCGAACGGCCCCTCGCGTAGTCACACTGAGATGCATAGAGATGCATAGACTCACGCAGAGACCCACATAGAGACCCATAGACTCAGAGACCCACAGACCCTCACAGCGACCCACATAGAGACCCACATAGAGACCCATAGACTCACACAGAGACCCACAGACCCCCACAGCGACCCAAATAGAGACCAATAGACTCACGCAGAGACCCACATAGAGACCCATAGACTCACACAGAGACCCATAGACCCTCACAGCGACCCACGTAGAGACCCATAGACTCACACGGAGACCCACATAAAGACCCATAGACTCAGACAGAGACCCACATAGCGATACATAGACCCACACAACGACCCACATAGAGATTCATAGACTCACATAAAGACCCACATAGAGATCCATACACTCACACAGAGAACCACATAAAGACCCATAGACTCAGACAGAGACGCACATAAAGACCCATTGTCTCACACAGAGACCTACATAGAGACCCATAGACCCACACAAAGACCTACATAGAGACCCATAGACCCACACAGAGCCAACACAGAGACCCACATAGAGATCCACACAGAGACCCACATAGAGACCCACATAGAGACCCATAGACCCACACAGAGCCCACACAGAGACCGACATAGAAACCCATAGACCCACACAGAGCCCACACAGAGACCCCAATAGAGACCCACACAGAGAACCATAGACCCACACAGAGCCCACACAGAGACCCCGATAAAGACCGACATAGAAACCCATAGACCCACACAAAGACTCACATAGAGACTCATAGACCCACACAGAGCCCACACAGAGACCCACATAGAGACCCATAGACGCACACAGAGACCCACACAGAGACCCACACAGACACCCAGATAGAGACCCACATAGAGACCCATAGACCCACAGAGACCCACACAGAGGCCCAGATAGAGACCCATAGACGCACACAGAGACACACATAGAGACCCACATAAAGACCCATAGACCCACACATAGACCCACACAGAGCCACACGGAGACCCACATAGATACCCATAGACCTACACACAGACCAGAAACCCATAGGCTCACACAGAGACGCGCGACCACACACTCACACACAGACACACACACAGACACACACACAGACACACACACAGACACACACACACGCACAGACACATACACACAGACACACACACACGCACAGACACATACACACAGACACACACGCACACACACAGACACACACACAGACACACACAGACACACACGCACAGACACACCGTGTTTGTTGACAGCTCGTGAAGTTGGAGCTTGGCCCCAAAACATCTGGGTGTCCACAACCACCGAACCGGTTTCCGACAACATAAAAACAAAACACAAAGACCCCGTATAGCCTGCAACAGATTGTTGGGGCAAGTGCTGTTAGCGAACACCTATGAAGGCCGGCACGGGACACGAGGGGGTGGGTGGCCAGCACCACGCCCGGCCGCCTTTGTCTCCCCCAGTGACGATGTTTACACACCACACCAGGTACTCATTTGAGGCCGAGTCGACCTTGGGGAGGCCCAGTACCGGTTCATGTAATCGTCACCGTTTTTGGCCGTGAGCGGGAATCGAACTCGGGTGGCCAGAGTTCGCAGTGTAGTGCTCTAACCGCTACACGACCGCTCCCAATCGAACCGGTTTCCGACACCACAGCAATGGCAACCCCTTATCAGTGCCTTTACCTTATTGCAAACAAACTCAGACCTTGATAACACTGGTCAACACACTTTTTCTGGCATAAGGTATTCCAATGGTTTAAAGGTAATTTCGGGGTGCTGATTACAAATCTGGCATCGGTTTTTGTCTATCACACCAGGTTTTTGAGATATCAAATATTTCATTTTCAATAAAACCTGCGAAAGAAAAATATAAAATAAATGTGGATATCTACATAAAATGATATTATAAACACACTATCCTAAAAATACAGCACCATATTTTAACACTAAAGCAGTCACTGACTCGCAACAACTTGCAATCATAAGTGACAGTAAATGTCGGGTAAAATCAATGAAAATGGGGTATGTCGATAGCATAAAAATGAGATGTGATAGAGCAAATCTGAGATCAGATTTGGATATCAGCACCCTGAAATTAGTCTAGAACAGCTGCAAAAGTCCAGGCCAGAAAAAAAAATGTGTTTTTTTTGTTGACCAGTGTAATTGATAATTGTTTTTTTACCCTTTTATCTGGCAACAAAACTGACATCTTTTTTTACAAGGAGTCATGTTTGCATAGACCACAATACCTGCAGTCATAATGCAAACAAAAAACATAACTCTGATAATGTATGCACCGTCCTTGAAGTTGATTGGTCCACACCCGAGACAGCTTTCTTTAGAGCCTAGTCTCACATGGTGTTGGACCAGATGACGCCAAAAGGCGCACAACTCAAAGACAATGCACCATCAGAGTATGAGAGCTCGGGCTGAAGCATTTACACCATTGGAACTCAGACCTTATTTATCACCCCGTGACTCTTATAAATCTCCACGTTCAGCGTACAAAGTCCAATGACGAGGGAGAAACACCAACGAATGGACACATTATAAGCACATTTTGCCAGTATTGAAATGACTGTACGCCGTATGGACCGGAAAATTCGATGATGATTGGTGGTGGTGGCGTTGACGATGATGTTTGTGTTGATGCGTAAATGGAACATACAGAGGAAGAGGAGGAAGGGGAGGAGGGGAGGATTCACGACTCCCGCTCCTGCTCGTCACGTCATGATCAATCAACTCTCCGTGTGAGGTCACGCCTGTTACTCGCCATCAGCGTCCGGCGTGTGCAGAGGAAACGATCCGTAGAGTCACACAGAGACCCGTAGACTCACTCGCACAGAGAACCGGAGACTCACTCACACAGAGACCCGTAGACGTGCTGACACAGAGATCTATAGACTCGCTCGCACAGAGACCCGTAGACTCACTCGCACGGAGACCCATAGACTCACTCACACAGAGACCCATAAACTTGCTTTCACAGAGACCCGTAGACTCACTCGCACAGAGACCCGTAGACTCACT